AAAATCACAATTTTTTAAAAAAAGTAACTGTCACCTTGAGGACTAAGGTTCTCCTGATTCCAACAAGCCATAGTCTTTTCAAAAGCATGCAAAAGCCAGATAGTGTACAAGAAAAAAATAAAAAAGAATTGACACTTTTGAAAAAAAGATATTTCGAAGCATTAGCCCTTTGTATGTGTGAATGTAACCTTATTTGAAAACAGAATTTTTCTTTTGTTTTGTCAACAGGCCAGTAAAGTGGATTCAAAACCTAATAGCTCAGAGTGGTAACACAATGGGGATTACACACATGTTGTTGTTGTGTTAAGTGCCATCAAGTTGTAGACAACTCATCGTGACCCTATGAACAAAAGACCCAAACACTTGTAAAACTTTCATCATTTTTCTAAGTTCATAGAGTTTCCAGAGACAAGCTACTTCAGAAGTGGATGCCACTCCTGCTTCCAAGCTTGTTTTAATCAGGAAGCTCCACCAAATACTGTCACCATGGGTAACCGTTATCATATCGGACACATCAGTGTCACATTGTTTAGTATCACAGCAACCATGAGTTACCTCTGTACAGCAATGCACAGACCAATGCTATACCACCTAGAAGAATGTTTGACCAAAAACAATTACAATCATCCCCGAGGGCTGCAGATTAAAATCACCCACCATTGGCTTGGTAGCATAATTTTCTATCCACTAGTACAACAAAGCTCTCTCTCTACACACACACACACACACACACACACACACACACACACACACACACACTAATCTACCAGTCAAGGAGACCACTGACAGGGAAAGTGCCTCCCCCAGAAAGATGCTCTGATTTGGAGCGAGTTTTGGTTCATATCAAGCTATTAGCTAGATCTGTGTTACTGATTGGATTGCATCTCCATAAAATATGCTATAGGGAGCTCTGGTGGCCTAGTGGGTAGTGCTGCCAACCCAAATGTGGTTAGTTCAAATCCACCAGCTGCTCCTTGGGAGAAAAATGGACACTCTTCTCCCATGGGATTTACAGCCTTTGAAATTCTGCTGGACTTCCCACTCAACAGCAATGAGCTATTTTGCGTAAAATATGCTATAAATCCTAAACCTTATACTTTCTCATTTGGGAAGAATCTTTGTTGTTTCTGAGGTCACATCAATATAGGGTATATCTTAAGCTGATCAATTCTGAATTGTAAAAGGAATCGATTAGATATGAGAAGATAGATGCCATCCCATATGA